TCTTTGGTTGTTATGGTATTAGGGCCACAGGCCTTTTATAATATAAATAAGAGATATTCATTTCTTTGGAATTCATTTCAATGGCATTCAAGTTCTTCTGCATTAAAACAAGTTAAGTGTTTTATGATGGACATGAATATAAGTCTTAATATGTGAAAGTGACTCAAGCATGTTGTTCACCATAAGATAAGGGATTGAGAAAAAAAAATGAATTAGTTCATTAAACCAGGAATGACTTAAATGTTGATTGCCAGCTACAATTTCTTCTATAGGCCACATTTCCCACCTTGGTCAAAAGGACTTGGGCCCCCCACGAGTTGTGCCGGGGAGTGGGTCTTCCGTAAGCCACATTTCACCAGCTACAATGTCTTTATCATGACCTCTCCTGATTGAATACTGTGATGGTTAATTTTAAGTGTCAACAGAGAAGGACTCAATGGTGTGCTGGAGTCAACTGTAAGAAATTATCATGGGCTCTTTTTCCATCTTCACAATTAGAGACAGCACATGGATTGTTGGAGTTAGCCAGAATGGGGGTATTACACCATGGTAACTGGCTAGTCCCCTCCCCCCTCTTCCTGGATAGCTAGTTATTTAAAACATTTACGAGCACACTACTAGGAGGACTAGGTGTTTTTGTCTCCGCCATTGAACATTTCCCAAATAGGAAAGTTCTTGGCCACATAATAGCCATTAATCAATATTTGTTGAATGAGTGAATAATTCAGTGCCTTGGCTCTCCAACCCTCTTGGTATGGCTTTTTGTTCCTTATCATTGAACTCTCATTGATGGGTATTTCACAAGGGGGGCATTGGCCCATTTACTATTTTTTGAGTGCAATAAAATAATGTTTATATTTATAATTGTTACTTTTATGGATAGTCTATGGAACAATAGTCTTCTCTTTTATCTCCCAACCTTCCTGGTTCTTCAGAGGCCACCATTCTAATTAGGGCAAATCAAATGATCCAGAATGAGACAAACGGGACCTGCCAGGAGGTAGAGAGAATATATACAAATTTGTGTGGCTTATGCTTATGAATGGAAATCACCAAAGTTCCATTTGTGCCAAAAATCTGATTCAAGCTTTCCTGGAATTATTTCCTTTAGCGTGTGTAGAATATATTGTGGAGAACAGTTCGGAGCTCAGTTTAAGCTGTTGACAAAGTTGTTAATTACTGCCTGTGGGGAAGCAGCATGATGTAGCTCTACCAGTAGGTTTTTCACATTTTAGACATCCCATGCTACCACTATGATTTTTGCTATGTCACCATATGGTAACACATCTGCAAACCAATTGTATGATTATTTGTAATATTTAATATTTTTCTTTAAATTAAGCAACTTTTAATAACAAAAATTTACTTATTTTTCTTTATTGATTAAGGTATTACATATGTGTCCTTGTTGCCCCATTGCCCCCCAATTCCCCGCACTCATGCCTTCACCCCCCCTAGTGTCTGTGTCCATTGGTTATGCTTATATGCATGCATACAAGTCTTTTGGTTGATCTCTCTCCCTTACCCCCACCCTCCCCTACCTTCCCTCTGAGGTTTGACGGTCTGATCAGTGCTTTTCTGTCTCTGGAGCTGTTTTCATAAATTTACTTTTAAAGACATTTTGAATCATGCCCTTAAATATAAAGCTGTTTTATCCTCGCAAGTTCACATTAAATGAACACATAGAAAATGTCCATCTCTGTACACCTACACCAAACATCATCTTATGCCGGCTAGTGGCATCCCAGGCACACTTTGGGAAAAACTAATGATATAAAAAGAACATGGATTTGGAGTTACCTACATTTGGTTTGGCATCTTTAGATTTTCCAGAGGTAACTTGCAATTACCTCTCTGAGACTTAGTTCTTTATAAAAGGCAGATCCCTGATTCCAACTGGGGATACTAACATGATGCTCAGAACCCAATGACCGAAGAGTAGATCTCAGAGGAGGTGCTCTATAGATTAATTTCTTTCTCCATTTACTATGTGCCTTCATTCCAGGCTCAGTCACCTTTTTCTGGCTCTCATATTTTTATATTTTTATTGAGTTGCAATTTTTACTCCATAAAATGCATAAGCCTTAAGTGAACAGTTCTGCCTTTTTTTATTGTTGGTTCTAGATCTACAGTTTGAATTGGATCTTTGAATATCTGACTTTGGTATCAGATCTGATATTTACTAAATGTTTGATTTTAGAAGCATTACAATGTCTGTGATTCTCTCTATTTATACAGGATGCCATGTGAATCTGAGTTAAAAGTACAGAGTGTTTACAAAAACACTGCCCAAGCATTCTTGTTAGTAATATTTTTTTCATTATTCTTATTATCAGTATGAAGACTGGGGTTTTCTAACGTGGACAAATCTGTAATTTGTTACCCACACCTTGCTTGGGAATGTATAACAGCCTGGCTCCATGCGAACCACTTAACAATCAGCAACTTGCAATTCCAAATCAGCAGCTGGCTGGGAACAAACTCAGAGGCATGAAACAATCACCCAGGCTTGCTGATTTCTGTTTCTGCCTCAAAGGGCAAGAAATTAGTCATTAGCCACCTTTGAGGCATGTCACAGTTGGGTCTTGAGTTAAGATCAATCAAAAGCAGAGTCAGGAATAATGATAAAGGAACCCTGCTCAGATACCCGGTTGCCTAATATCAGCTCAATTCATCCATCCATGGAATTCACCATTTGTGTACTATGAATGTGGACATTCTGGTAGCACCTCTGCCAGAATCCTCCCTGACTACACCAGTCCTCACTGATCTGTCTTCTCCGAGTTTGCATTTGTGGGCTTGCTGAGCTGTCACCCCCATCACGATGAACTCTTCTCCAGTGACCCCTGTCCCTCATGAGGTCAATGTGCAACTCTGGGAAACATTATATTTTTGTTATATATTGTGGGGGCATGTCTTGTTTCTCGGAGTTCTACCTCTTAATGACCACATAGAATGATGAACAATTCAGTGGAAGTTTCAGGCAGAACAATTCCTGCTAAACATAAAGAAGACCCTACAGGTGAAAACTAGATGGCTGCCCCAAGAGAGTGAGTTTCCTCCAACTGGCTTTTGCTCAACCAAAAGCTACGCAGTTATCTGACAGTGATGATGTAGACAAAGAATCGAAAAGTTCAGAAGGGCAGTTAGGCTAGTTGAGCTCCAAGTCCCTTTAGATCCTATAATTCTACGCATACCTAAGAAGCACTCCAAAATGGCTACCAGCCCAAGGGATACACTGTGGAGTTGGAGAAACACTATCTAAAAGCCTAAATAATCAGTGAATAATCTCTTGTAAAAACTAGCAATCTCCACTGATATACTAATAAAGCATAAAGATAACTAATGTTATGTTGGTCATTTACTTAAAAATATTTCATGTACAGAGTTGGACATTATTACTGTCATTATTAGTTAAGCTATAATCGAAGTAGTCCTAAATGATTAAGTATTCTAATTGATTCAGCTAGTACTCTAATCAGGAAGCCTGTACTCTAGAGGTAACTTCTATAAACAATTCTGTTACCCCAAAACGCAGAGGACTTGTGAAAATCATGAACTATGGAAAGACTGCTTCAATTTGAATCCTGCCTCTGTTATATACTAATTATAGCAGTCCAGGGATTTAACCTAGCTGCACTTCAGTTTCTAAAACTGTAAAATGGGGATAATAATAGTGATCTCCTCATAGGCTGCTAAGAGGATTAAATGAGTTAATGTGTGAAATAATGTTTAGAGTAGTATCTGCCACATAGTAAGTGCTAATTGTGTTAAATAAATAAAATCAATTGAAATAAGTTACTTTGATGAATGACATATTAATGTCAGAAATGCATTCCCACTGGTGAAATTAAAAAGGTATTCAAATGTGCAGATTGGTTAACATAACCTAGAGATACTCTCTCCTTTGACCCTTGTATTAACAGGATGTGATTCTCACAAGGCCAGTCCGGTTGACAGCCAAGATCTGAAACTTTTTATTATCTTGGGTCCAGCAATTGAGTCAGAAGTTTCTGGTTTCCTGAAGCAAACTGTATGGAAAACAGAAGCCTGCCTCTGGAATATTATAATTTTGTCTTGGTTAAACATTTAAAATATGGTGGTAATTTAAACACTGAAGAACAGGAATTCATGGAGCTTGCAAACAGAATGCATGAACACCTGTGCACCTACTTGCTAATGAATAGTAGAGTAATAAATATATTTATGTGACAGAATTTGGTCTGAGACTAAGTGAAATAAATCAGATGTAAAAAGTCAAGAACCACATGATTTCACTCATGTGTTGGATATAAACTGAAAGCAATGAATAAGCAAACAAGAACTCATAGACACAGACAACAGTATGGTGGTTACTTGAGGGAAGGGCGGCAGGGGGTGGGGAAATAGAAAAGGGTAAAGAAGGTTCAGTATATGGTGATGGAAGGAGATGACTTTGGGTGGTGAACACACAGCACAATATACTGATGATATAGAATTGTACACTTGAAACCTACATAATCTTATTAACCAACCAGAGGCCTGGTGTACAGATTCATGCACCAGTGGGGTCTCTTAGCCTGGCCTGCAGGATTGGGCTGAAACCAGCTCTCTAAGTGGTCCCGGTTTGCAAGAGGGTACAGGCCAGGAATGTGGGAAGTTGGCCAGCTGGGGAGGGACCACAGGAGGGCTCCAGGGCATGTCTAACCCATCTTGCTCAGTCCTGATCAGCTGGACCCCAGCAGCAAGCTAACCTACCAGTTGGAGCATCTGCCCCCTGGTAGTCAGTGTATGTTATAATGAGCAGTTGAGACTTTAGTATATCATTAGCATATTACGCTTTGATTGGTTGATGACCCGACGAGATGACTGGACACTTAGCATATTAGGCTTTTATTATATAGGATGGTGACATGAAACCCATCAACATATCTATGTGTTGTTAAAGTAATTAAACTAGGAGGCTAT